TATATTTTAGACGTTCAAACTTTGCATACTTCCATTAACTGTTTTCAAAAACAAGCAGGATCAGTATAATATAGATAAAAAACTGAATCAGAGGATTTTCCTCGATGAACCGATTTTTTTCTAAAGCCTCGGGGTCGTCGACTTTCGTTTCTCGTTTCGAAGGACAATTTCCTGTCTGTCTTTTGTTCCCTTCGCGAAACTCGTTCGCCTCACGCTTACCTTGACGCCGGTTCACTTTTACCGATTTCACAAGAAAAAAATGCTTATGAACGTTTTGATTGAAAGGTTCCATGAATCAGCTCCACGAATAGCCGCACTGATACGATGTGTTCAATAATTGTATGCAGAAATTCATAAAAATAATGGTGCGAAATGACTAATCATTGATCTCATTAATAATAGATGCTTAATATGAATTTCATATTCGACGGAGTTTATTGATTGAATGCATTCTTGCGATTTAAATCAAAATGTATCCGTACATTTTTCAATAGAATAGACACTAAAAATATCTGTCGATAAATTGAATTTAATATAGCAATTAAAAGTATAACGATAGAAATTAAAAGGACAGTTTAAACCGCAGTGAACAATGACTGTGAACGACTTCGGGGAGGCAGGTTTTCAACACCGGGAAAAACGATCTATCCGCATAATCGGTCGAGTTTTTCCTCGCCCGTTTCGACCGATTTATTCCTCGTTAAAACCGCGGAGAAATATTTTTACCCGGCCAACCGTGACGATCCCGTAACGCCGGTAGCGGTTTATTATTATGCGTTACGTCGCCACCGCCGCTGTGCCGCACCGGTTCCATTATTTCCAACGCGTCGCTTAACGGGTTCGCCACAAAGTCTGCAACGTGCCTTCTGCTTGCCAAACAGCTTCATCTTTCCGTTCAGTGACCATTACGAAAATTATTTCCATTTCTTAGGTTTTTAACAAGAAGCTGTTGTATAATAGAAACTGCAAGCCTAATATGGATTGCGAATATGCAATATGTAATAAAAAATATACATCTGATGTGAATTATTAAAATAAAAATAGGGGACAAATATAATAAAGAGAACAAAGGGTGTATGAAGAGTTCAGTATAAAAATACATTTCCTATAAGATGATCTATTAGTTACAGAGCTGATTAGCATAGAACATAGCAGGGGAGACCTGTGAACACGGTGGAATTATTCGAGCTCGTGAAGACACGCATAGGTCAAATCCGGTTCACGATTGAGAGGCTGTTCCTTTCTCTTTGACGCTTCAGTAGCAATCGGTTTGACTCGGAGACGTAATCGTGGGCCTTCGATAGCTCAGTTGGTAGAGCGGTGGACTGTAGTTGGTTTAATTAATTAATTATAATATGGACATCCATAGGTCGCTGGTTCAAATCCGGCTCGAAGGAATTTTATTTTATTCCAAATTATAATAATGCGAGGTTCTAAGTATCGTATG